ATGCCTCAGAAAAATCCCACCGACCTAGGCTGGGATTGAACCCAGACCTATTGGGGTGTTAGAAAGTAGTCACGCTTACCACTACACCACCGGCGCCGGCAATTTCATTACTTCAAAATAAGTACCGGTTATTGGGATTCCCTAATAAAAATAACCATAAAAAAGAGCTTAACGACGTGTTCGGCGTATCATCCAAACCATTTGTGGGAAAGTTTACCCATCCGGGATACAATTCGTTTATGATGTTTATTTATTAGGGTTGTTGGGAGTAATTTCGTGAAACACTTGTCTGTGTGCGAGCATAATACAGAAGTGAGTCAAGTTTGTAATTGCGTCTACTATGGTGCATCCACGGCATGAATTAATAAAGTTGAAAACAGCTTTAGATATTAATTTGCCATCAAATTCTAAAAGGTACATTATGTGCTAAACCCTATATTGCAATACAAAAATGTAAATACAACAAACAATACAGGCATAGAAATTGACTGTTCCCCTATGTAATACGTGTTTTAAGGACATTGATATAAGTGAAAAAAAGATAGATTACCTTTCAACAATACGTTTATACTAGGAGCCAGTTTCCATTCAATCGCCAAGATCTGTTTTAGAGGAGAACCAGTAGATGGATCCGTTGACATCTCAGACGTTCTGGGATAGAAGTTACTCGGAACGGTTCCTGGAGCTACAGAACTGATTAATGTTGCCACAGCCTCATGCGGCCCCGATCGGTGAAATGACTCAGGAGCTGCCACGGCCGTTTCAGTGTCCGGTGTGGATACGTTTTGTTCAGCTGTAGAAGATAAAATAACAACATTTAAAACAATATACAAAGAGAAATAGAAATCTATCCAAATTTCTAGAAGAGGTGTTGCAAAGTTTAATATGTCTTGATCGGTTTTTATTTTGGATTTTTGGCTTACCACGGATATGCAAAACAAACATTCAAGCGTAACTATTCAAATCGACGTAACTGATTTTGTAAACAATCACTTCAATCGACGATTTGTCTTAACTGCTAACTCACCCACGTAAACACCATCATCAGGTGGGGGAATCTCTCTCCTACTATCTGGTGTTGTTAGTTTCTGTGAGTGAGCTGGCAGTTGCCACAAATCGTCGATTGAAGTGATTGTTTACGAAATCAGATACGTTGATTTGCATAGTTATTCTTGAATATCAATAGAAATTGGATTTTTTTTTCATCATGTTTTAACTTTATGTAAATACTCGGCCAATGAGATCAACTCAAATTTGAGTTTTGTGCACTCAAATTCGCCAATATGCCGTTAACTCATAGACTGAGATAGTTTTCCGGTATTTTCCTCAAAAATCTGCTCAAATGTGAGAAAAATCGTTGAAAATTTTACAGTCTAGGTGTACAAAAATAACTTGCTACTTACCTTTCGGTATGGGCTCGGACCCTATTTGAGTTTGTTGTTTGATAATAACAGGATCTGATGGTCGGAGTCCGGATGGCGTGTCATCTACTGTGAAGTAAAAAAAATAATAAGAAAAAAAATGAGGTTATGCCTTTTTTGTCAATGGCTGCTTTGTCTTAAAGGTTATGTCAGTTATTCTTTTTATGTTCTAAGTTCAAAATTATTTATTAATATTACTCACCAACTAATGTATCGAAGCTTGGATCATCCTCCTTAAGGGGTTCCTCTTCGTCCCCGAAATCTTCAGAGATATCGGAATCATCTAGAGATTCCAAAATTTCATCCTCTTCCTCCTCACCTACATCTTCTTCTTCTTCCGCTTCCTCTTAATACATCTCAACGTCCAGAAATTCTGGCTGAGGTATCATGTTTATTTTCACTTCTACTCTTAATCTAGCACTGAATGTATATTTACTATGAGTCACCAAACGAACAGCGGCAACATTTAAAACATCCGAAACGCGAAAACATCCGAAAAGCGAAAACATCCAGTTTTAATATCGACGGGCACGAAATACAACCACTACACAGGACAGGCGACTTGTGAATGTGAGCCAACGGAGACCAAAACGACTTGCTTGTATTGTTACAGCACTGGGCACTGTGAGTTGTTTGTCCCTTTTATTCCTATGCTGTTCTTATGAGCCAGCTAATGTGATGTCATACACTGCATATCAAATAAGAATCAGAGGAACGAAAGAGACAACGAATTCCATACGGTCAAACCCGAAATATGTGATATTGAGGTTGTGTTGTACGATTTGACAGTTCTACAATTTTCACGTTAAAAGAAAACACTTTTAAATCGACAAAAGAACCGATGAAAAAACACTGTTAAATCAAACAAATCACTTTCATACTAAAAATTTTCACTTTTATTTCAATAAAAACAAACCACTTCTAAAAACAAAAGTGTAAAATAGAACAATTTTTATATTTTGTTTGAAAGAAAAATCAAGAATAAAATTAAAAAAGGCATCGGTGAAATTAAAAGTTAGAAAGCGGTTAGCTTTTAAATCGAAAGTTTGTCAACTGTCAGTTTAAAAGTTGCCCGCTCATGACTTTTAAAAGTTTAAACTTTCAAAATAAATTGTTCTACTGTCAAATTAAAAGCGTGGCATGGTTGAACTTAAAAGCGTATTATTCTTAATTCAAAACAAACTTTTGACCTGAATGTACGGTATACTTTAAATGACAATAATTGTTATTTTTAATCCAAAATTAAATATTTTTATTTCAAAAGTAGTATATATTCAATAAAGTAACATCCTTTTAATTAAAAATTACAAATTCATTTATTTCTCTATTTTTTATTCAAAATTTGATATCATTGTCTGGTTCCACACTGCATATTCGTCGGATTGGATAGGCAGTTTTTTTTAGACAGCAGGCTGGTATGGATCGACATGTTTCACTTGAGATCCTTGTAGTACTGATTGAGGGCACTTCTCTCGGCGTCCGTCAGCTAAACCTGCTAGGGCCTTCTCTAACATCTTGCACCACTGTAGGCAACGAAATGTCTCCGATAGACAGTGCATGATTGATGCTCGTGGCCTACTGCCGATTCGCCACTGCCTGAGGATGCCATTTTCCGTAAATTCCTGGTGCAAGCGTGTTTCTCATCCTACAATTTCAAAAGCAATCAATCAATAAATATTATTTGTTCCACGGAATAGAATTTCAAATTACCGGATTGATTCGCCCGGAAAAGGATCAACGTTCGCCGGATTCCCTTTGTGAGTATTAACGACTAAATTCTCGGCTAAATTAATGATACCTGCGTATAAGCAATCATCATGGGTCAGTGGTTCAATAATGCAAATTATCTGATCTCCAAAATTACTTACGGTGTATTAAATTTTTTATTGCTCTCCCAAACTACAATGTCAAGCAACTGCAACTGAAATGAAAAAAATCTCTTTTCCGGCCGTATGGCACACTCCGCCAGAGCAGAAGTACATGGGTTCTAATTTGCAATCAGTTACAGAGTTACAGACCAAATCAAGACACTTTCTAGGACAAGTTAAAAAAAAACTGAAGTTTATGTAGCTCCCGTTTTGCACGTTTTTCTTTTTGTTTGCTCACGCTATCCTAAAACTACCCAGAAATGGGTAGAAATCAACACATGAAAAGTAATTTTGACAGTTAAACAATTTTCAATTTGAAAATACGCTTTTAAAACTACAAGTTAAAATTAAAACAATCACTTTTGGATTAAAAACAACCTTGTTGTATCAAACATTTTCGTAGTTAGAATAACGATATTTTTGATACTTTTAAATTGAAAGCTTAATATTGTTACCGATACAGTTTTTGTTTTTTGTGTGCAGTTGCGTGCTTGTTGATTTTTGTCTACGAAAATCAAGCATGATCTTGAGTGTTAGTGAGATTTGATTTTTTTTATATTTTCCCAGCACTGGCAGTATCTAAAAATTCTCCATTGTACGTTACGTAGTATTAAAACGATCCCATTATAATATTTATGTTAGGGTTACGGGATGTAACCTAGGCCTAGCCCCTTTACTCGGCCTATCAAGCAAAAAATTATTTGTTCAGCAATTAATCCAAATGTTGATGAAACAAAAAGTTCACTGCTCATTTAAAATGGTCATCTGCAAACGAATCATTAAATGATTTAAATTCAACAAAAAGCGTTCTAAAACCCGAAAAACTTGAAACTTGAAATGATGCGCAATTTGTGCTTCGTTCAGTTTTTGCCTGTGCTTTGCAACGCCATCTTCTCTCGCTGTAAAAACATCAACAAGTTTTTCGGGTTTTAGAACGCTTTTCGTTGAATTTACTTAGTGAAATTACTATTCAGGAACTATTTTTGAGGGGCCTAACATGGGGACATCGAGATCAAAGTCCATTGTGCTCAGAAAGCAAAGCTCTTTCAGATGATGTATAATGATCGATATATTTTTCAAAATTAAAGAACTCAATTGGTGCAGAAATAATAATTATTTGTTGACATATGATTAAAATCGTAATTGATGGCTACCCTATATTGTATAATTTATTTCATTCATGGACCAATCACGAAGTCACCAATCAGTAGATTAGGCAGTCATTTCTTATCAGGTTGATCAATGCAATCTGATTTACATCTCTATTTTTGTCTTAATTCTTCCTGCTCAGTAGCGTTTGGGCTGGGCACGTTGATAGGAAACGTGAACAAATAAACAATCTAGCTCGGAGGGACGGCAAATTTCGCTCGTCGCACTACTCCACATATTCAGATTACATTATGATTACCACGAGACTCCTCATTATCAACCGCTGCCACCACGTGGCTTCGGATGATGCAGAACTATCATGTTATATAGAAGCGTCCACCGTTACAACCGTACACCTCCGTACACCAATTCAAACCGAGATAAGAGGAAAGGAGCGAGAGAAAGGAAGACCAATACAATGCTTCCTTTTGCGAGGATTTGATTACGCTCGGACTCTCTTTATCACTCATCACTCATTTTTTTCATTTTTTGAACGCGCGCTCGCTCATAAATCAAGTCGAGCGCGCACGCGTTTCTTATAAAAGCAAGGATGAGACGGGCTCCAACGAACATAGCTAGTCGTGATTTTGAATTCGAAGGAGTAGCAAGTGCAGCAAGTTGACCTTTCCATTTTTGTTTTTGTCTGCTCGGAGTGATTGACGTGAAATAGGCCAAAGTTATCAGGATTCATTGACCGATTTTTGTTGTTATTGATAAAAGTGAGAGTTTCCAAGTACGAAGGAGATCAACATGAGGATTATTGTGGAAGAGGTTGGTTGAGAATAGATGTAGTGAAAGACTAATCGTGATAGCAAAGAAATGTGAACTGAACAGAAGTTTTCTAATATACAAAAGTGGTAAATGTAACTCATTTTGTTATAAAAAAAACTGGGTACTTCTGAGTACCGTAAACCCATGGTAATCTGAATCGTGCATATTAACGGGATTCACTTTCAATTTGAACTTCTAGTAACGCTATGACCATAAAAAAGCGAGTTTCTGGTAGCCTTATTTGCTGTTTTATTTTGATTCTGCGTTTCGTTTCGAATCGTCCCATTTCACTTTACTTCATTCCATGTGCTAAATGACGTTTGAACATTTGTTTAGTTTGCACGCCGTACAAATTAGCGGGGTTCAAACTTAAGTGTGCAGATTGAGAACGGTCAGATTACCGGAGGCCCACGGTAGATATATTTTATTTTGCAAGCCAATAGAAAACTGCTTGAAAATTTTCTCAAGTTTTGCTCTTTCTTGAATCATGGAATCTATGCTGGCTTTTATACTTTCATCACTTTTTGTTTGGTTATTGTCTTTGAGATTAAAATTAAGAATTTATTAACTGCATTTGTTGCTTCTGAATGTTTGGCTCCCGCTTGACAGTTCACACAGGCTCCCAAGTGACAAGCACATTGAGTCCGCAGTACCCAGATCAAAATGCATACCGTGGACCCCCGGTAATCTGAACGACACTTCGTGCATATTAACGGGATTCAATTTTAATTTGAGCTTCTAGTATCGCTATGACCATAAAAAAAGCGAGTTACTGGTAACCTTATTTGCTGTTTATTTTGATTCTGCGTTCCGTTTGGCATCGTTCTATTTCACTTAACGCCTTTCCAAGTGATAAATGACGTTTGAGCAACTTTTGTTTTGGCCGGCGCGTACAGATTATCGGAGTTCAAACCGAGGTTCAAACTAAAGTGTGGTCAGAGTAAAAACGGTCAAATTACCGGGGGTCCACGGTAGATTTGATTGAGATTTCTACCGTTTGTCTGTCGCTATTCTGTTAACTAAAAAGAGGCAGGGTCAAGAACAGGGTATTGAATCTCAGTAGCTACGCACCCGGATACAGGAATCGACTTATTAATCACATAGTCGAGGTGTTTTGGGACGACTTTTTACCAAAAATGTTGGAAAAATTCGGCTATCTCCCCTATTTTGTGAGTCCTTATGTCACCAAAGGCCGGCGCACAATAGATACTTTTTCGGGGTTTTTTACAGATGACTGTCAAAAAACCTGAAAACGTATCTATTGTGGGCCGGCCTTAAGGCTGTTTCCCGTTTGGTGAATTTTCACTTAAATTTGACAGATGGAAAATTTTCAAATAAACCTGCTATTCCAGCAGACTTATTTCTGACAGCCCAGGAATCATTTTTTTTAAAAATCTTCTCGAAAATCGGTCGATCAATAAAAGAGGGATTTTCGAACACCTTAATTTATTTTCGAAATGTCAAATTTAAGTGAAAATTTACCAAATGGAACACAGACTAAGGCTGTTTTCCATTTGGTGAATTTTCGCTTCAATTTGACATTTCGAAAATAAATTATAATGTTGGAAAATCCCTCTGTTGTTGATCGTTCGATTTTCAAAAAGGTGTTTGTCAAAATTGATTCCTGGTGTGTCCGAAATAAATCTGGCACAATAGACCTTTTTGACGTTTAATCGTCTCTCTCTATCTAGCACACATGGATGAATGCACGGTTTGTTTTCCCACTAATCTGTTTCCCTCTTGCTCGCACTCGTTCGATTTAAATCGTGCAGTAGTGTGCACCGATTAAACGTCAAAAAGCTCTATAGCAGGTTTATTTGAAAATTTCCCATCTGTCAAATGTATGGCTGTGCGTTACATTTGGTGAATTTTCACGCTAATTTGACGCTTCAAAAATAAATTGAGATGTTCGAAAATCCGTCTTTTGTTGATCGGCCGATTTTGAAGAAGACTAAATATTGATTCCTTGTCTATAGAAATAAGTCTGCTGGAATAACACACGGCCAATGAGATCAACCCAAACTCGAGTTAAGTTTACTCATAAATCGCGATTTTCCTGAGTTTAACCAGGACAAAAATCCCGAATATGACGAAAGTCAAGATTGGATTCTCTCTGTCTATTGGTGCTACCCCTAATAAAAATTGTATGGTTAATTTGCTTAACGACGTGTTCTGGGTATTATTGGTATTATCCAAACCATTTGTGGAATAGTTCAATGATTTGGGTTATCGTTCGTTTATGGTTATTTTTTATTAGGGACTCCTATACTGAGTAAAATTTTCGTCAATTTTCCTCATTTTCCGCATCCTTGTGCCACTTTTTCTCGAGTGAGTGATCTCAAATCGATCCGTGCACTCGTCTGGATCAAAGAAATGGTACTACATTGGGAAGATCCAGCATAGGAAACACGATAAAGCTGGCTAATTACAGATCATTTGGGTGGGACCCTTCCTTTTTCTTTGTTTACATTATAGTTCAATCAGTATTTATAAAACCTTCACCAAATAAGGTCCTAAAAATTAAATTGAGGAGCTCGGTTAGCTTGATGGCTGCTGCTTTTGCTTACTGAGTAGAAGATCAAGGGTTTACTCCCAAGCTTCTCCAAAACTAAACAATTACTACAGCCGCAGTGCCTGCTACCATCCAACTCCGTAGCATCTATAGGGGCTTCGGTGAGTCGCTGACCTCCCGTTAAGGCTCTGAACCATTTGGCGATTTTTTTAAACTTTTGGTTTAAAGTTTAACCAAAAGTTAAAATAATCCACCAAATGGTTCAGAGCCTAAGTAGATGTTACATAAACAATATCCTTCATTTTCTCGTAACGGACAAGATTGGTGTGGCCGGCAATGGTAAGTGTCATGTTTTTCCTCTTATATACTTTGATTGGAGAGCTATCCAGCTTTCCATGCTCGGTAATGGCGGCCTGTTTGTATGAATAAATGTATCCTTCACTGTGCTTTTTGACACTATCTGGATGTTCGGGTTTTAACCCTCCCTTTCCCTCTCCCAGGAACAGAAGAAAATGAAACAACATACGCCCTCCAGTTAGTGTCAAAAAGCACAGCGAAGGATACATATATGCATACAAACAGGCCGCTATTACCGAGCTTGGAAAGCTGGATTCACTTCCAAATAGTTTTCCTTAAGCAATCAGAATAAGAACATTGAAGTAGATACATGACAATTTCCAGTATACAATCTACGAATAACTCCATTGCAAACGCAACGCAACGCTTTCAAAATGCTTAAACAATGTTTCATCTATAAACATTGCTTATGCTTGATACTCTTTCGACTAGTGCTTCCATTTTCTCGTCGTTTTTGGCTATCGCGAAACAGCTGATGGCTTATCCTGGTAATTTCAGGGAATCGGGAAATACTCTTAGCCAGTGACCAAAATAATAATAATTTTTCAACTTCCTGAAGTTTATTTAATTTTTCCTTGGAAGATTTTTTAGGATTCCTCCCATCCGCCTTCTCCCGCCAGTTTTTTGCAACTTCCTCCGGAGTATTGTACTCAGGGCTTGAAAGGGGATCGCATATCGACTGTGACTGCGTGATCGCGTACGTTTTCTGCATTCAATGTGCAAAGCAAGCACGTTGGTTTGACTGGCAAAATGGCGCAGTCGTTCTGCCTTTTGTCGATTGCTTGTGTGCTGTTTGCTGCAGCAGCTCGGTGGAAGCCGATTTTTCAATTCATTCATTCTCCCGCGTATCGTGCATGTTGAAAGTTGAAGCTGCAGAATGACCGGGAGTATGCTGCGTATTTTGTTTTCATTTCTCTTTTCCAATGGTGAGCTATGCTGTACGAGTCTCTCGATAGACGCGGTAGGAAATATTTTATATTCACCGCTATAACTCGGCTGTTTTCAAACAAATCGATCTAATTTTTAATATTTAAAGTCTCTGGTTGCTATTACGGCCAAATTTGACCGATTTTGAATCTTTTGGCACCATAGGATTCAGAAATTTGTGTTCTTTCTGGACATTGCCAACAATGTCCATTTGGAATAGTCTGGTTCTAAGAAATCCGGATTGTTTCAGAACTAAGCATTTTCTTGCCTTTTGCTAGAATTTTGAAGGAATCGATATCAAAGTAGAATCTCCTTCAAGAAACAATTTCAGCTTACTTGAGGACCAGTTTAAGGTTTCTCCCCGGAACGGCCATTCCGGCGCAGGTTCCCGTAGGGCCTCTAGTGGCCATAGAAGTGTTTGGGAAGAAACCGCTACAATATGGGTATCAAAATTCATGAATTTACAGCAGGAGACTGTTTATCATAATTTTGTGATCATCCGATGGATTGTCCCGGAGTTGGTGCCCGTAGGGCCTCTAGTGGCCATAGAAGTGTTTGGAAAGAAACCCCTGCAATGATTTTGCAGATTTTGCTGCACCTCCACCAAAGCAGGTCCGTCAAGATTATTCTTTTGCGTTTGAGTTTGACCTGACTGGTTTGTAATTTCATACTACAATAGCTCTTCGAGGTTTATATGGCAATTACAAGGAAAAAAAAAAGATTTTGATTTATTTTCTTCGTTTTAGCCTTTTTCCAAAATGATATACGGGTATGCCTACTATCTTTTCTTATGTAAAATTTGGAGACTACTTTTTGATAGAACTTTCTCAAATTTTCTCGTAATAATTTCCTTATAAAAATTAAAGAGCAGTATGAGATCGCAACCAAATGGGTTCAAATTTCTGAAGAATACTCAAAAATTGTAATCAATTGAGCAGGGTAGAGCAAAATCTATATTTTTAAACACCCTTGTATGGTTAGTCGTGGATTTGCTAAATATAATTTATGAACATTTTCTGTCTGTTGTTTAGGCAAACCAGCAATCTCTAGCGTAAAAAATGTATCGAATTTGAGGGAAAAAACGGTAAAGAATTCGAACTGGGGTCATTTCTTTATTATCTTACAGGTTTGTGCTAATAAAGGGTGGTTAGTGAAATGTTACGTTTATTTCCTTTGCGAGTGGGCTAAAGGGTATCAGAGTATC